ACAGATGGTGGATATATTTGCTCCTTTCTGTGTGCTTTTTGGCTGCTGCTTTTGCTGCTGTTACTGCAGCAGCAGCAGGTGCTGCTCCTCCACCAGCAACAGCAGCATTAGCTGCTGCTGTTGCTGCAGCAGCAGCAGCAACAGCAGCAGCAGCAGCAGCAGTGCAGGGAAATTAGAACAAATTAGATTTTTTCATGACTCGAAGGAATTCTTCCTCATTTACTTCTCCATCACCATCTCTATCTGCTTCGTCTATCATCTGCAGCAGCAGCAGCAGCAGCAGCAGCAGCAGCAACAGCAGCAGCAGCAACAGCAGCAACACATACAACCTGCTGTTCCTGCTGATGTTCCTGTTGCTGCTGCTGGGCTGCAGCTGTGCATGATTGTGCTGCAATGTTAGTGATAGAATTAACTATGCTGTTGTGCTGTTGGACACTGCTGCTGCTGCTGCTGCTGCTGCTGTTGCTGCTGTATTGAAACAACTAATGCTGCTACTGCTATTGCTGCTATTGCTGCTGCTGCTGCTGTTGCTGCTGCTGCTGCTGCTGCTGTTGGGTAGGGGAGAAAGAAATACCTCTTGTATTTCTTCATCTGTTATCTCTACGCCAATTTCCTTCGCAACTTTCTTCAACTTCTGTACATAACAAGACACACAATTATTGCTGCTGCTGCTGCTGCTGCTGCTGCTGCTGCTGCTATTGCTGCTGCTGTTGCTGTTGCTGCTTGAGTAGTTCATAACGAGAGCTGCAGCAGCTGTCTGGATAAAGAAGCAGCAGCAGCAAATGCAGCTAAGGATAGCCACCACAATAAAACCCATCATAGTTAGCAGCAGCAGCAACAACAACATCAGTACCAATAACAGCAGCAGCAAAAAGGAAGATGCTGCAGCAGACTCAAGCTAGCAGCATCATATACAGATCAGCAGCAGCAGCAGATACAGCAGCAACTAGAACAGCAGCAACACACCTACTGCCACCTGTAGCAGCAGCAACAGCAGCACAACCCCCATGACGACAAGCAGCAACACCAACACCAACAGCAGCAGCAGCAGCAACAGCAGCAGCAGCAGCAGCAGCAGCTAACAATTTTTTCCCCCATGATGGAGAAGAATTCAGGATATTCAATTCTCCCGCTACCTTCAGGATCAACAGATGCAACTATACGACGAATCTGCATAAATAAATAAATAAATAAATAAATTAATTAATTAATTAATTAATTAATTAATTAATTTAATTATATTTAAATTAATTTAATTAATTTAATTAACGCGGTTGTTGCAACAGCAGCAGCAGCAATTGCGCCAGCAGCAGCAGCAAGAAGAAAAGCAAAATAACACAAGCAGCACAAAGAGAACAAATAACAGCAGCAGCAGCAGCAGCAGCAGCAGCAGCAGCAGCAACAACAGCAGCAACAGCAGCAACAGCAGCTCGGTAAGCCGAAAGAATAACAGCCACAGCAACAACAATAGCAGCAACAATACTAGCAGCAACAGCAACAGCAGAAACAGTAACAGCAGCAGCAATAATAACAGCAGCAGCAGCAACAACAATAACAGCAACAGCAGCAACAACAACAACATAGCAAGACAAACAGCAAAAGCAGCAGCAGCAGCAACCCAACCACAATAATAATAATAATAATAATAATAATAATAATAATAATAATAATAATAATCAGCAGCAGCAACAAGAACAACAACAGCAGCACGACGAGCAGCAAAAACAAGAACAGCAACAGCAAGAGAACAATTATATACCTCATCTTTTTTAGGCTCGAACCCTAATGCCCTCATAGCAACTTGTAATTCTTTGGTGTCTATACACCCCGATCCATCAGTATCAAATAATTTAAATACTTCTTTTATTTCTTCTTTATGTTGCTCACTTAATTCCCTTCTATTTAATCCATTATTTACACCAGAAGAAGAAGAGGAAGAAGAAGAAGACGAAGAAGAGGAGGGGGGCCCACCTCCCAATACACCCCAGGATGGGGCCCCCCCTCCTACACCACCTACCATCAAGGTACGCGAAGAAGCAACCGGAGCAGCACGACGGCTTAGCTGCAACAAACATATACATATTTATATTTATACATATGTCCTGCTGCTGCTGTTGTTCTTCCTGCTTTTACTTGTGCTGCTTATGTTGCTGCTTATGTTGCTGCTGTTGCTGCTGCGGTTGCTGTTGCTGTTGATGCTGCTGTTGCTGCTGATGATAAGGACAAATTATTGGGAGAGGGAGGAGTAGACGGCTGGAAGGATTTAGAAACAGTCGATGCATACAGGGTCACCTGCTGCTGCTGCTGCTGCTGCTGTTGATGCTGCTGTTGCTGCTGCTGCTGTGTGTGTGCGGCGCAGCAACAGCAGCAACGACAGGAAGGACTGCAGCGGGTAAAGCAAAGGTGATGCTGCATTTCTTACCATCTCTGTGTGTGTGTTGTTATACTTGCGCCTTAAGCCCTGAGCTGCAGCTGCAGCAGCAGCAGCAGCAGCAGCAGCAGCAGCAGGGGAAGCAGCAATCCTAGACGGTAAAGGCTGCTGCTGCAGCAAAAGCAAAGACGTAAATACTTCTTAATTTAAATGTAGATACACCGCAAACAAACGGCAGAGCAGCAGCGGCGTCTTAGAGGTGCAGCGGACCGCAGCAGCAGCAGCAGCACCAGTAGCAGCAGCAGTAGCAGCAGTAGCAGCAGCAGCAGCAGCAGCAGCAGGGGGCCCCCCCCAGCTGCTGCGCTATACAGGATAGGCAGCAGCAGGGCATAGCAGCAAAATAAATAAAATTAATAAACCCTTTTTTAGTGTTTTATTTATATGTTATGCTGTCTTGCCTAGTGGCTAATTCTTTTGCTCCTGCTGCTCTTCTTCGCAGCAACAGCAACAGCAACAGCAGCAACAACAGCAGCAGCTGCTGCTGAGGAACAAAGGGCCGCGGCAGTCAACCTGCAGCAGCAGCAGCAGCAACAGCAGCAAATACTCAAATATTGATCAAATACGCTTTGTTTTTACCTCCTCGTGGACTTGCTGCCGCTGCCGCCTCCACCTGCAGCAGCAGCAGAAGCAGCAGCAGCAACAGCAGCAGCAGCAGCAGCAACACTGCAACACCAACAACGGCTAACGAGAGCCTCAATGTTAACGCTGCCGCAGCAACAGCAGCAGCAGCAACAGCAGCATCAGCAACGTCTGACTGGCCATTCCAGTCAGTCGTAGGCGCAACCAGCAGCAGCAGCAACAGCAGCAGGAGCAGCAGCAGCAGCCGCGTGATCGTGTGACTTGCTGCTGCTGCTGTTCCTTCTTCTCCTCCTCCTCCTGTTCCTGCTGCTGCTGCTGCTGCAGGAGGCGGGGTTCCGTACGGATTCAGCAGCCGCTGCTGCGGCTGCGCCCGCTGCTGCTGCTGCTGCTGCTGGTGCTTCCTCTGCTGCAGCTCAGCAATGGGCGCAGTGTGGCCTCCGACTTCGACGGCTGTAGCAGGAACAGCAGCAGCAGCAGGAGCAGCAGCAGCAGCAACAGGAACAGCAGCAGCAGCAGCAGCATTCCACCTGAGTCCTGCTCTTAACGAGTGCAGCAGCAGGTGTCGGGGCAGCAGCAGCAACAGTAGCAGCAGCAGCACCAGTAGCAGCAGCAGCAGTGGGTGGTCATTGGATCCCCCTACATCAGCACGAACAGATACTTCAGCAGAAGCGACGAACCAGCAGCAGCAGCAGCAACAGCAGCAGCAGCAGCAGCAACAGGAACGGACCGAATCAATACAGGGTTACAGCAGCTTGCTACGCAGCAGGAACAGCAACAGCAGCAGCAACACAGCAGCAGCAAGAACAGCAGCAATCGCTGCAGGCTCATTATCGTCATCATAACCGTACACAGCAGCATCAGCAAACAGCAGCAGCAACAGCAACAGCAACAGCAGCAGCAGCAGCAATATTGTAGTTTATAGATGACGATGTGTGCTGCTGCAGTAGCAGCATCACGTGTTGCTTCTGCTGCTGCATCGTCTGTTGCTGCTGCTGTATTTCTGTTTGCTGCTGCGGCTGCAGCATTAGCAGCATCAGCAGATGACAACAGCATAAACACCAACAGCAGCAGCAGCAGCAGCAACAGCAACAGCAACAGCAACAGCAGCAGCAGCAGCAGCAGCGGCATTATTCCCTTATTTCCTTATACAGAAGGAGAAGAATCTAATTGTATATTTTATGGGGATAAAGATTGTCCATCTTTATTAAATAATATAATAGATTTGCTGCAGTGGTTGCTGCTGCTGCTGCTGCAGTGCAGCAGAGCAGCAGCAGCAGCAGCAGCATCATTATATAAATTTCTTCCTCCTCCTCTCCTCCATGTCTTCCTCTCTCTTGCTGCTGCTGTTGCTACTGTGCTGCTCGTGTCTTTGATCTATTGGCGTTGCCGTATAACAACGTACTGCAGCAGCAGCAGCAGCAGCAGCAGCAGCAGCAGCAGCAACTGCAACAGGACATATTTGGGGTCAAATTATACCGTTTTCAGCAGCTCGAACGGTCAACAGCAGCAGCAGCAGCAGCTGCTACCTCTTAGTAATCCATTGCATGCATGGGAGTCTTTTTCTTCTGCATCCAGCCCCAAGTATTGTTGTATATGTTATGAATTAATATCTGGATTTATTATCTATAGAAATAAAGGATGGCAATGTATTATCTGCAGGAGGGCATGTCATGCAACATGTCTTGCTGCATGCGATGCTCATCTATGTAAATCTCCATCAGCTCCTGCTGCTGCTGCTGCTGCAGCTGCTGCTGCCGCAGCAGCAGCAGCAGCAGCAGCATCAGCGGCGCAGCGCGCCGGTGCGACTCCAGCAGCAGCAGCTGCAGCAGCAGCAGCAGCAGCAAAACATTGCCAACCTATTCCTATTAAACATAAACTAGTAAAAGGTGCATTAACTCCTGATGCTGTTTGCTGCTGCTGCGGTCTTGCATGCAGCAGCACCTTTGGTCTTGATGGTTTGCGGTGTCTGTGGTGCTGCCGCGTGCTGCACTCGGAGTGTCTGTACTTGCTGCCATCTGCATGCGATCTAGGTCCGCTGCAGCAGCTTATATTACCCCCTGCTGCAGTACGACCTCTACTGTCTGCTGCTGCTAGTCCTCATGTGCTGCTGCGTCTTGCTGCTGCTCTCAAGGACGGAGACGGCGTTGCTGCTGCTATTAGGGGACTACGCAAGTTGCTGCTGCTGCTGCAGCAAAGTCTTACGAGACAAATGAAGAAAATAAATGCTTCTTTTATTGGTACACTTAGGCATCATAGAACCAGCAGCAAACAGCAGCAGCAGCAGCAGCAGCAGCAGCAGCAGCAGGAACAGCAGCAGCAGGGACAGCAGCAGGAACAAGAACGGAAACAACAAGAGAAGCAACAGCAGCAAGAGCAGCAGCAACCACAGCAGCAAGATGGTCAATCACCAACATCTACATCAACAGTACCACCAACTGCAACAGAAACAGAAGCAGCAGCAGCAACAGCAGCAGAAGGAGCAGCAGCAACAGCAGCAGCACCAGCAGCAGCAGGAACTGGAGACACATCACCTGCTATACATTCGAAGGACTCTACAGAGACAGCAGCACAAAGTGGCAGCAGCAACAGCAGCAGCAGCAGCAGCAGCATTGATGGAGATGCAGCAGCAGCAGCTGCTGCTGCTAATGATTCTGCTGCTTCTCCTTCGAATCAACAAAGCTCACCAGCAACCCCACGCCAGCAGCAGCAAGAACAACAGCAACAGCAACAGCAGCAACAGCAACAGCAGCAACAGCAGCAGCAGCAGCAGCAGCAGCAATTGCTGCAGCTGTCTCTTGATAGGCATAGACCGCAAGAAATCCTTAAGGCATTAAGTCAACATGTAGAGGGACTACGGGCATTAGCAGGGAGACTAGACAGCAGCAGCAGCAGCAGCAGCAGCAGCAGCAGCGGCAGCAGCAGCGATGAAGAGATTTTTGGTGGTGGTTATAGTCGCAGCAACAGCAGAATCTCCCGTACACAAGATCCCTCCAAATCTAGCAGCAGCAGCAGCAGCAGCAGCAACTATTACTACCAGCTGCAGCAGCAGCAGCAGCAGCAGCACAAGGGGGGACTGCGGCGTCGCCGCGGTCGTGTGCGCAGCGTTGCATCTGAGTATGCAGGTAGTTCAATGGGTGCTTCTTCTTCCTCCTCTTCCTCTGCTGCTGCAGCAGCAGCAGCAGCAGCAGCAGCCGCAGCAGCAGCAGCAGTAGCAGCAACACAAACACCACAAGAAGATACAGCAGCAGGAGAGACTATACCTGCTGCTGACACCACAAAGAAGAGCAGCAGCAGCAGCAGCAGCAGCACAACAGCAGCAACGCCAACGAACAGTAGCAGTAGCAATAGCAGCAGCAGCAGCAGCAGCAGTAATAAGAGAGAGCAATTAACAGTACTGCAGCAAGCATTAGCAGATATATTACCACCTAAGGCAGCAGTATGGCGTCTGCAGTCCCCGCTGCTGCTGCAGTTGCTGCTAGCAGCAGCAGCAACACCAATCCTTGTCTTTGTTAATTGTAAGAGCGGAGGACAAATAGGAAGAACATTATTTAGGCAACTTCTTTATCATCTAAATCCTATACAGGTTAGTTAATTAATTAATTAATTAATTAATTAATTAATTAATTAATTAATTATATTTATTTATTTATTTATCTATTTATTTGGTGTCTTTTGTTATATTTATGCACATATTTATCCATTATTTATTTATTTATTTATTTATTTATTTATTTATTTATTTATTCCTCCCTCTCCCTCCTCTCTCTTTCCTCTACCACCGTTACCTCCCCCTTCTGCTGCTGCTGTTGTTGCTGCTGCTGTTGCTGCTGCTGCTGCTGCTGCTGCTGCTGGTGCTGCTGCTGCTGCTGCAGGTAGTAGATATCCAAGCAGAGGGTGGCCCCTCTGCTGCCTTACGTCTATTTCGTCCCCTTGCCCTTCGTGGTAAATTAAGGATATTAGTTTGTGGTGGTGATGGTACTGTTGGTTGGGTAATTGATGCTATACAACAAGAATATACACAAATAAAAAAAAAAAAAAAAAAATATCTACTGCAACACCAACAGCAGCAGCAGCAGCAACAAATGGCAGAGGGAGGGCAGCAGCAGCAGCAGCAACAGCAGGAACAAGGAGGAGAGGGGAAAGGAAAACACGGAGAAAAACGGGCAGCAAATGATGTCCCTAAGGTACAGGATCTGGATGAAGAAGAAGCACAGCAGCAGCAACAGCAGCAACAGCAGCAACAGCAACAGCAGCAACAGCAACAGCAACAGCAGCAGAAGGTAGTATCTGCATTTGTTCCTGTAGCTATTTGTCCATTAGGGACAGGTAATGATCTAAGTAATGTATTAGGATGGGGAATGTCCTTCGATGGAGATATTGTTGAGGTACGCATGCATGCAATTCTGCTTCACGAGCTGCTGCTGCTGCTGCTGCTGTTGTTGTGTGTGTGTGGTGCTCGTGCTGCTGTGTCTGGTGTTGCTGCTGTACCTGTAGCTATGTCTGCTGTTGTGTCTGGTGCTGCTGTTTGTTACTGTCCTGTTGTTGCTATTGCTGTATGCAATTGTCCTGCTGCTGCTGCTGCTGTATGCAATTCTGCTGCTGCTGCTGCTGCTGCTGCTGCTGCTGCTGTATGCTGCAGCATTTATTAAAGATTCGTCGGGCTGTCCCTTCAACTCTCGATATATGGAATGTTGAAGGTCAGCGTCTGTTGCTGCTGCTGCTGCTGCTGCTGCTGTTGTTGCTTTTGTTGCTGCTGATTCTGTTTCATCTGTTGCTGCTGTTGCTGCTGTTGCTGCTGTCTTGTATAGATTAGCGTTATGGTGCTCACATTTGTTGTTTTTTTTTTTCTGCTGCTGCTGCTGCTGTTTTTGTTGTTATTTCTGTTGCTGTTGGTGGTGTGCTGCGCTCCTGCTATTGCTATTGCTGCTATTGCTGCTATTGCTGCTGCTGCTGCTGCTGCTGCTGCTGCTGCTGCAGTAACTGGTATAAATGGTACTAGTATATTAAGAAGTACATTCTCTAATTATTTAGATGTTGGTGTTGCTGCTGCTGCTGCTGCTGCTGCTGCTGCTGCAGTAACTGGTATAAATGGTACTAGTAT